GAGACGTGTCTGGTTCCTCCTGGTGTTGTTGTTGCTATCGCCGCCAGAGGCTAAATACCACAGTATTAGGCAGGAAGTGGAGAATGTAGATTTGGAGCAGCTGTTTGAAGGTAAATCCACATCTGGCTTACGGGAATCTTTTAAAGGCCAGTTTATTAGAGTTCAGGCCCAACAAGCTGCTGTGAAAATGAAGGATAAGAATGGCAAGATTCAGCAGCCTTGGATGACAATAGAAATAGAGAGGTCAGTCAAATAGAAAAAGAGGCAAATGTTAGGTTTAAGGAACTGAAGACAGACAGAGCTGTTGAAGAATACAAAAATAGAAGGAAAGAAGACCAACAGGAATTAGGAGGGGTAAAAGGAGCGGTGAAATATCTTTGACATGCAAGATTTAAGGAAAACCCCAATGCATTTCATAAAGCATATGGAGCAAGAGGGTAGCTAGGGAAAGGGTAGGTCCACTCAAGGGCAAAGGAGGGAATTTATGCATGGAGTAGGAGGAAATTAGTGAGGGCATTAATAAATACTTTGCATCAGTATTCACAAAGCAGAAGGACATGGTGGATGGTGGGTTTTGGGAGAGGTATGTGGATATTTCAGGGCATTTCAATATAAAAAAGGAGGAGGTGTTGGCTGGTTTAAAAAAAAATTAAAGCGGACAAGTCCACAGGATTTGATGGGCTCTGTCCCAGATTGCCGAAGGAGGCAGGTGACAAAATTTCTGGAACCTTGTATCCTCTTTTGTAGTTAGTGGAATGTCCCTTTGAAATCAAATAACAGCTCTTTTGGGACACTGGAGGCAAGATTAGATGACTGAAGGGCATGCTGGGAAACTCTGCTCGGAAATGACCTGGATAACTAGTTAAAAAAACCAAATGAACTCGGGGTGGGGAGGGTTCTCACACTCTCCAGGGTGAACATCAGGACCGTCAAGAGCAGGAAGAACAGCCTCAACTCCAGTTTGACCAGCTTCAATCACAGTAGTGTAAACCTCTTTATCAATTATCGGACCCTCCTAGTGCCCCAATGCATGTAAATATTGTCCTGTATGTGCAAGAGATACCTTTGGTTTGTTGCGACAGAGTCAAACTCAAATGTTTTGTTTGTTTACTTGAAATGGAACTGTATAGAAGCAAACTGCACTTGTGACTATGTATAAACAAAAAGAAAACTTTTTATGAATAAAGCATACTTTTGAAATTAAAATAAAAAATTGTGCTCCCAAAGCAGATTGCAAACCAGTGTGAGGGCATTTAAGAGCTGTGAAGTTACTCGGGAAATTAGAGGGAAAGATGGGTTTATAGAGTTGCACTTACATGCACCAATATCTACCGTGTGTTTCAACGATAGTAAGCCAGGTCTCATGATAAACAACGTCGCATTATTAGTAACCAATGTCCCACTACAAACCTACTGACTCCCACAGCTACCCGGACTATACACTTCCTGTAAAGAGTCCATCCCATTCTCTTAGTTCCTCCGTCTCCATCGCATATGTTCAGATGAGGCCAACTTCGACTTGAGAGCCTCTGAAATGTCCACCTTCTTCCTCAACCGAGGATTCCCCAGCTCTGTTGTTGACAGGGCCCTCAACCAGGTCCGACCCATCTCCCGCACTTCCGCCCTCACCCCTTCTCTTCCCTCCCGCAACGATAATAAACCAGGTCTCACGGTAAACAATGTCTTATTATTGGTGTTAGCAAGTAAATCAGACACACACTGTTCAAAACATCCTTTACATTTTAATCACAGGTCAGATTTTTTTTGACACAGACGACAACGAGAGCCTGGAGTGTGCAGCCAGATGAGGTGGTGGTCTCAGTTTAATGTCTCATCCAAAGAAATTGTTGAGAAATGTTTACTTCTCCCTGGCACCCCTTAATCTTGAGTGTGATTTCTCCTGAAGTCATTTATCTGATTGAAGAGAGATTTGCAAAGCTCCAGTTAAACGAAGGGTTAGACTTGTTCATTTTGCAGAGTCGGGTAAAATTGGTTAAAATAAAAAGCTTCAAGTTTCACGAGGCAAGTTTGGAAGTTGCTTTTATTCGCGTTCACATCAAATTCTGAAAAGTGTTTTCAAAACAGAGTGAAGTTCGAACTTTACTTGCAGTGTTTCTGGGGATTTCTTTCCGCGATTCAAGAGGCAGCGAGAAGGCAGCTGGGGGCGGAGCGTTTCCTTTTTAAGGGATATATGCAAATAAGGAACGCTGCATCCATCTGTCTGTATTATTCCAGTAAAACAGGAATGTTGGAGATGTGCTGTGATCCATGTGAGGAATTTGTCTTCTTCCCCACCGCAGGAAACCTACGGTGGGTGATTTCTCGATGTT